GACAGAGTTAGAAAAGGTATAATTCGGATTTGTAAAGAAGTGGGACTGCGAGTAATCATCGAAACAAACCTTAAATGTATAGATTTCCTAGATATTTATTTCAACCTTCCAGAGATATATATATATATATATAGTATTTTTAACTTTTTCAGTTTAAATATACATTTTTTTTTATTTTATTGTTTAAATATATATATAATAGATATAGATATGTAAACAAGTATTTGTGGGTCTTTGTATTTGTATGAAACCCCCTTTCAGTACAGTACAATTTATATATTGTAATAATAATAATATTCATTGTACATGTTACGTACCTGGAAAGGCCAATCGATGTTTACAATTGTAGAATGAGCTGGCCAAGGCCCATCGTTTACAACATGGAAGGTATGTACAACTCTTGTACCAACCTTAAAAGTATGTATATTTTAAAGAAAACTAAGGTACAGTAACAGTTTAGATAAGATGGAAATGAAAATTAAGAAATTGATTTTTGTTCATTCATGCATGGCACCAGAGTCCGAATTTAATGAATTTGAGCCGCGTCTCAAATCCGCAAAAAAAACAGTTTAAATTAAGCGCCGGATTAAATCTTGAAACATTGAATACAATTTTAAGTGGAACCAACCATATTTGAGCTGCGTTGTATATGTAAGCCGTGACTCAAATTCACAAATTCCTCGATATCAACTGCACAACAAAATTGAACAATTTGAATGTATTCCGTAAACAGTTGATTTAAAAAAAATGTCAACACTTTTTATAGTTATTTAAAAATCCTTATTATTTATGAGTATTACCTCTTGAATTGTTCTTACGGAACTTTCTCCCACAACCTGAATATTTCAACTTTTAGTCTTTTTACAAAATATTCTGGAAAGAGCCAAAATTTAAATGGGAATGTTCTCTAAAATCGATAACAATCTTTAAATTAAAATTTTGTCAGGGTAGAATTCAAAGAAATCGAATGAACATTCAAACATTATTTTAATGTCTAATATTGTTTATTTTTATTTGAAATATTACCTGGCCTCCATACAGAGTATATTCTGGTCGAATAGAGCCTCGAATTGAGACTTCGGATCGTCTAATAACGTTAAATTGTCGACTTCTTGTCAGCTCACTAAAGGTCGACACCAGCCATTAAATTGTGAAAAATGCGACATTTGAAAAAGTCGTTTTTAAAGTGTCAGTCAGCACAACTGAAACTTTTGAATTAAAGCTTAAACTTAAACTCTTTCTCCACCCCTCACAATGTTTAAACCAAGGGATCTCTCATTGTTATCTATCTATCTATCTATCTATCTATCTATCTATATATCTATCTATCTATCTATATATCTATCTATCTATAGCTAAATGATCTGCCTATATTTCCTAAGACATATCAACTAGAGATTATAAACAAGAACAGATGTGTGAAGTTAATGCAAAAAAGTTGACAAGAGATTTAAAAACAACTTTAAAGGGACTGTTCACGTGATTTTAGAGGACACTTCAATTTTAATGATGAAATTTAAACGTCCATCTTGGTACAACTGATGAAAAAAATGTATTTTTCTTCCTAGAAAAGTATTTAATTCTGTTAATTTCCTTTATTGTTTGTGCTGTATGAATTCGCAGGTCTTCTTTTTAGCGAAACTACAACTGAAATCCGACAATTTAAAGGTTACAATGGAAATCGGAAAAGACCCTCAAATTTTTTCTACACAAAAGTGTACCCAGCTGTTTCTATGAGAAAGTAAATACAATTTGTCTCGAACAGCTCTAACTGTGTTTCATATACATTCTGCAGCACACTTATAAATATATTTGTTTAAGGGGGAAGAATTTAATATCTTTGGAGTAGAACCCCCCATATATATATATATATATATATATAATATATATAGGACTATACAGAGATGACGGATTAGCTG